ATAATTCTTGACCAATGATTAGTTATGTTTGCTTTATTTTGTTAGCTGACTTCACCCTTCTTTTTGTGCAATTAGACAATTCGCTTCTACCTTTTTTTTGCAATGGAATGGAAATCCAGTGGTTTTTGAAGGTCTGGCTTATGCTTACTAATATGGCCAATAGTTTGAGTTCCTCTTTAGTAGTGGCATGTGTCGTTATGAAATCTATTGCTATAGATTAAGTCATCGTTTCCCAGAACTAAATTCATAGGAATTGATGCAAAGCTAAATTTACAATTTACATAATTTAGCTTAATATCGATGGCATTTGATCCTCGATAGACACACTATACTAGTTTTGTATAAAGAAAAATGCTTAATAAAACCAGTTACAAAGACATTTATTCCGATTTCAAAGCCTAAACTTTCTGAGTTCACCATTGCTCAGTCATTTAGATCGAAAAACAATGTGGTTATTTCTTTGATTTCAATGGGAATTTAGACTGCAGAGCCTTTGAATGCTCAGTATTCACAACTCTACTTTAGGAGTTCCCCTCAATACGGGAATGTTTTTATCGGTCTAGACTCTCCTATATCCTGGCGTTCATCGATCATCTTGCAAAATTTCCCTCCAACCGCATCTCAGGATTGAAGTTATCAGGAGGCTGATGGTTTTATCATTGATTTTGATGAAGATTTCTTTCAAACTCTCGATTTCCTTAATTTTATCTTAAGGCACTGGGTCCAGAGTGGTCTACCAGTTTCTGAATCCTCTTCGCAAATTTTGAAATCTCACCCTTCAAAGTTACCGTCTTCGTTTCTCAATATTTGACCTTGCAAAGTACCTACAATGTACTCTTTTTTTAATTTCCCTTTTCTAAAGTAGCAAGTAGTTCTTGTTTTACATTGTAATGTGAAGGACACAATGATTTTAATAGTATGGAACGCGTGACTTTGAGTATATTTTAGCTTCTATGAGCTATTTCGTATAACTTAAGATGGTTTTCATCTTTCCCTTTTTCCCTCCTTTTCTTTTTCTTCCTGCCGATTTTTCGCCCGTTTTCTCACTTCTTTTCTTCTCAGATATGCTTGTTTACATTGCGACAAACAACTGCAAATTTGCGAAGTCTTGTTGTTTGTTATGCCTCTAAATTTACTCACATTTCTTGATTCACCATATTTTTTCTAACTGTTCTTCTACATAGCTACAATGCGATAGTCATTCAATCATTTAGGGGGTTTTCATGTAAATGAAGATCCACGACATTCTCAATAAGTGCGCACTAAGGTGCCCTTTCTTCCCTTTGTCCGATTTGTTGACTTGCGCCATTGGCGCACTGCTGCATTTTGGCGGGATGAGCTAGCGTGGCTTGAGGTGTTTTGCCGCCTATTTTTGAGTTTGGGAAAAAACTGGCGACAGCCATATAGTATGACACCTGCGATGGCAGCATCAGAAAAGAAATAGCCAGCTGGCAGTACTGGTAAAGGCAGGAAATGCATGAATCTGCTGTTTGTACGATAATGAGTATTACTACTTATCTAAATTCGAGACGCTGTGTTTTTGCTTCCAAGTAGAATTCCAAAATCCTCTCTTGGAGCTTTGAAAATGATCTGTGCATTATCTTTTGACAATATAGTAATCTCTTATTCTTGGAGCTTTGTTATTCTATACCACGATTCAATTCAAACCAATTATTCAAGTCTGGCTTGCGTTGTATTGAAGAATAACAGAGAGTTCAAAAATGAGAGACTACTATATTGTCAGAAGATGATGCAAAGACTTTTTCTACGTGGGCACTTCTTAAACGCTTTGAAATTATTTTCACGGCGAAGTCAATGTCCATTTTTTTTCTCGCAATAGTGCACAAATATATAAGATATGTTAAAATATAAAATATGGTTATTCTCTACAC